ATTTAGTTTAGACGTATGTAAAGGTTAAATACATACAAGTTTTCAAAAGATATTAAAACATAAACCTATTTAAAACAATCTTGATTTATTTATCATTATAGAGTCTACCAGCGACAATAATTCTATATTTCTTTTGTGAAATATAATTTATGTAATGATTGAACTAAAAACAATATTGTAATAAACTTTGAAAATTAATGGCAAATATGAGCACAATTTTAATAATCAAATCTTGCCCAAGTACTTTCGCTTTCTACATCATCATCAGGGTCATCTGAAATAAGCCAAGAAACGTTCTTTTTAATGAAGAAAATTATACCTTCGATAAAAAACTCGAAGGTAAGGATGATAAAAGTTTTTTGTGATTAACGTTTTAAACTTACTTCGTCAAATTTGGGCTATCCAGCAAGCGCAGAATGTAATAAACATGAAATTGAACATAAATTGTACATAACACTACACTTAAAAAAGCACTAAATGTGGTTGCCTGCGTAGAATGCTTAGAATATTATGGACGGACAGGGTCAGAAATGAGGAAGTACTCAGAAGAGCGGGCTTACAGGATAGGGAACTTTTTAGTTATGTAAAAAGTAAGAAGACTACATACTTGGGGCAAATATTACGAGGAGAAAGGTACACTTTTCAGCAACTGATACTCGAAGGGAAGATAAAGGATAGGAGAGGTCTGAGACGTAAAAAAATGTCATGGCTGCGCAATATTCGACAATGGACAGGAATCCACAGCTATGAAATACTTCGCAATGTTGCTAAAGACAAAGTATTTAATCCTGACTATTTAACATCTCACCTGACAAGACGATGTAAGGTACACGCGTAGGCAGAAATGCACGGCACCTTAAAAAGAAGAAGAAATTAGTAATAAAGACTTTAATAAATTTGTAAATGTTATAAATAGAACCTTTGATAATAAAAAAGACAATAAAATTAGATTAATAAAAATACTACAGAAGGATTAAATACCATCTTAGTTTATGTAAAAACATCTGTTGTATCGTCTGACATAAGTACAAGAAATAAAGACTGTTTTAGGTCAATTAAAATTTGCTTCACAAGAGCCTCTCAAAACAGAAAAACAGTCTCAAGAACCTTTGAATATAACCTCTTCTAAGTGAATAGATAGTATGGAATTTATAGTTTAGTGTAATCAACTAAAAACATGCCCTTATTAATATACTTTAGATTCATTAGCACCACGTAGGGCAAGTCCACATTTGGCACACAACTTGAAAATATCTATAATTTCTCCCAGGGCATAACTGTTTTTTGACACCATTTTGTTGTGAATATGAATGTTTCGATTTACGCAAGATTTAAACCAGGATTGATATTAGTTGTGCTTAATAGCTGGAATCTTGTACAACATTGTTAAAGGTAATGGATTTAAACAAGAGCTGTGACCTTGTAAATAACAGATAAACTTGTGTACTAAATGGGCATGACGCATAGCTCTTGTTAAAATCAATTACCTCTAATATGTTTGGCCGACTTTTCCTGGTTTTTTACCTTTTCGCCCAGATGTTTCAAATCACGTACACATTTTTGTCAAAGATCTCATCCCTTCTCCACAAAATAACAAACAAACAAAACAACTCATTTTTTTTTCTTCATATCCGCACAACATATGTCGTTAATTTTTTTGAATGTTAAATGGTTAAGAAAGAACTTAAGTTTAGTTTCATTAATTCACACACCCTTATTGGTACTTCTTAATACTTTAACCTAACTCGGTCAACAAACAAAAATGTAGTAAGTATCTACTAGTAATACATCACCAGTCTAATTGTACATTATATCTTCGGGTTGCATCCTTAACATCCTAATAAAAGGATTCCCCAAACCGACGCGAAACTTTCGCAGCGGAATCGCGGCGAATCGTAAGGCACGGCGACTTATGTCGCCGAGCGCCGCAATCTCGCGCATCGACGTGCATCGTCCCTCCTTCTGGAAGTTTTAATAAATTCTATTGGTTAAAAATCGTAAAAGTTTCATATAAAAGTTAAATATACTTTAAATATGTGACATTTTCGATTTACAGTCAGTCTGGTTTTACTCTTACGGAGTAGCCGCAGGGCTCCTCATTGGAGGACTCTGCAAAAAGTTTAAAAAGACTCTGAAGCTGAGTTTTTTTCTACTTAGAAATGGTTGTTTTATTCCTTACATATAAATAACCCTTAGGCATTAGTCTTTTTCAAGACAATGCCCCTTTAAAACGTCCAGCGGATAAGTATAATTTTATAAATACTTATCCCGCTCCGACGATATGGCGCCCAACAAAATACGAACATAACCACGCTCTGAGTGTTCAGAGTTCTCATGCTAGCGTTCCACCATCGCAGAAATTCCTACACGTGGTCTGCAACAAGAACCACTCAAGAAACAGCGGGGAGAGGATCGGATATTAGTATGTTATACACTAATATGCCGATATCCAACATTCTGCAACCTGTAACCGTCGATGTGTGACCTTCTCCGAAGCCAACCTACCTTGATGCCGTACCTGATGCACGATGGATGTCCCCGGAGTAGCCAGTCACTGCCTGCCCTACCAGTATGTGGGAGCACCACGGAGGCTCAGGTAAAACTCGCCTACGTACGGACCACCGGTGACATGCAGAGGGTACTGAAGGGCTAGAACGAGACGTAGCGGCCGACGACCGGCCACATCGCCGAGGAGGGACCTGCAGAAGCCGGCCACGACACCGACCACCGCCTGTGAGTGTTTTTGTGCAGTGCAGTGCCACGCGAGTGTAGTTTTGTGTTAAGAAAACTGTAAGTAATGACTTTGATAACATTTGAACATTCAATTTTGCCATTTTTATGCATAATATTTTTTTAAATTTATTTTTTAACTTGTAAAAATTCTGTTTTCTTAATGCATTTAATAAAATCAGCTTTTTTTATCAGCCTCAGAGTCTCCAAAGCGGGGGGGATGTCGCCGAGCGCCGCAATCTCGCGCATCGACGTGCATCGTCCCTCCTTCTGGAAGTTTTAATAAATTCTATTGGTTAAAAATCGTAAAAGTTTCATATAAAAGTTAAATATACTTTAAATATGTGACATTTTCGATTTACAGTCAGTCTGGTTTTACTCTTACGGAGTAGCCGCAGGGCTCCTCATTGGAGGACTCTGCAAAAAGTTTAAAAAGACTCTGAAGCTGAGTTTTTTTTCTACTTAGAAATGGTTGTTTTATTCCTTACATATAAATAACCTTAGGCATTTGTCTTTTTCAAGACAATGCCCCTTTAAAACGTCCAGCGGATAAGTATAATTTTATAAATACTTATCCCGCTCCGACGATACTTAATGCATGTGCTCAGACAAGTTCGGACGGAAACCGGAACGGTCGCGGCAGAACAGCGTTGACGTTTCATGAAACGCTGCATGCACGGTTTTTTCCGCTGCAGTTATAGCAAGTTATAGTTTCGCGTGAATTATTAAAATGGCTGTTACAGAAAAACTAATTGAAATTGTGAAACAATATCCTATAATTTATGATTTAAGTGACGAAGATTATAAAAATATAAGAAAAAAGGATAAAGTCTGGGATAATATAGGGTCATTTCTAGGAGAAAATGGTAAGTTTTCATTATATATAATGAATTTAATAGTGCTCCGCCTGCGAATGTTCCGCAACGGTTTCGCGTCGCAAAAGTTTCGCGTCGGTGTGGGGAATCCTTAACTCCGCAGTTTTGCCGGACAAAATCGAAAAAAAAGCAGTTAGTGCGTGTCATTTCCATGTTAACCGCATGGATTTAGTGGGCGTTAGAAAATCAGCCTGGAATATAGTGCAGTGCAGCTTAAAGCAAATGTAAAGTTTAGTTTGGTTGGGTAAATATATGTTAATTTAAACAGAAGCTTCAACAGAAAAATGTGAATATGAAATAAAATTACTCAACTGTTTGTACACCATTTGTATAGAGAGGTACACTAAGGCACTATATATACCTACAGCGAGGCAAAGTTACACTGCATGATGTATACGTATACCATTAACAAAACCGGCGGAAAATAAACTAATTGGCAGACCAAGATTGAGATGAAGGGATTATGTAGATACAAGCAAGATCGGTATTGCCAACTGGCATCAAGCTACATGGATCTAGACCTCATGAAGGGATAAACTGATGCTCAATTTGGACATAGCACCAATGATAATAATGATGACTGATACTTATTCCTTATACCATTAAGAGAAGGTGTTATGGTGTTAATTGTCCATATAATATTGATATTAATAAAAAAAAATGGTTTGAATATAACTTTTATTTAACAATATTCTACATTCTAGTCTATTTTTAACCCATAACAAATCCATAACGTAAAAAAATCTATAAAACATGATACATATATTATATTTTCAAGCCACAATATGTTACACTGACAATAAAACAAGATATGTAATATAAAAAACTAAAAAAATTGCATAAATCGATTATATTAGTACAAAGTAATTCTAGAATGTACAGTAATTTAAGCAGGATTAAGAAATTTCAATTTTATTAATAATAAAAAAAAAAGAGAAATCATACGATTTCTACCTGGCGAAATCGAATTCAAATATAGGCCGCCGTGCTCCCTAAGACTTGCGAAGCAAACAGCTTGATGAATGCATCGGCAACGGAGTCTAAAAAATGCACTCCAAATGCCGTTCATCATGGTCTATATTCGTAGTGAATTCGATTTCTGGTACTCCAAATGAAGTAAATAAACAAAAACAAATGAATTTGAGGAGATCTAAAGAGATCGAAATACGTATATGCGGCTTGTTGCTGCTCTGTATCAAATCAAAATATAATACCGTCATTTGTTTTATTAATAATATCCATGATCATATTTTTATTAATTTAGTTTTTTTAATGTGAACAATAAAATAAATATGAAATAATATTTTAAAATAATGTATCAAGGGATAAACTATTTGTATTATATCACAAATAAGTCAGTCCATATTTTAAACCTTATCTAATAATAAAAACGTTTTATTTCTTTAAAAACCCTACTTTCCTAAGATATCTGACAATCAACGGTACTGATGCTAGAGTTATTGTAATTCGTACTGGAGCGAAAACTTTATGAAGAGCGTAAGCAACTGCAAAAGTCCCGGCATTAGTTGCGACATTACTGTTTTTAATCCATTCTTCCAGTCCAACAGCTTTAAAAAGTGCAGCTACATCTAATCCACTAAAAATAAAGAAAGTTGTTTAAGAGCTATTGCTATAAAAATCGGGAGAATTTGTTTAAAAAATAAAAACTTGTAAATTCATACAATCAACTCTGAGAAACGATATGATATATAAAATGATATTGTTTGAACCGAAGATTTTGTACTGGCGTTATATTAATTTTTGTCTATAGTAAAATGCAGAGCAGATAGTCAAGACACGGCAGAGCAGATCGTCACGACACGAAATACGTGGAAGAGTCGATTTACTTTTATAGGAGAGTCCGTTGTACATGTAAACATTTCATTTAATAATAAAACAAAACTATATATTTCTACTAACCTTTTATTTATATCATATTAGTACGGAATATTTCATAATTTTTATTAGAATACTGGAGTATAATTAAATAGTGGTTGATATTTACCAAAATAACCAATTTTGCTAATTATTATTTGATTACCTCTATTATGACACAGTGTCTGTGTGAGGTTGCCAATTTTTGTCGTAAGTTTCAACCATTTCAACTTTTTCACAATGTGAACCAAACAATTTAAAATAAGTTTAGGTTATGTTTTGCTTTTATTATTATAAAATGACAGTGTTTTCTATTATTGGCATAACAAATATTATATAAACGATGCGGAATTAATCTAATTGCAAAATGTTGAATTAATTAAGGGACAATTTAATGTAAGCAAATGTAAAATTCGAAATTGTTGACGTTTATGTGCAGTTAAAGAAGATGGGTACAAATTAAACCATGTTTTTTGGTGCAGTACATTTTTTGAAGAACTACTAGTACCCATGAGAGTTGTACTAATTTATATATGTAATGTGGTTTTGGATAGATCAAATTCCAGTTAAAAGTGCTTCATTAATGATAACGAAGAGTTTCTGGTTGACCTCTTTGGTAGAAACAAAATGAGGATTAACAAAACATACTTCCCACACAAAGACCAACACACATACACGTTCTGCAACAATAGAGGCTAAAAATCAATGATAGACTAACAGAGCAGAATAACAGAGCTATCACACCATCACAGATACTCGGTTTCAGGTTTCAGAGCCAAATCTCAGCTATCACTGTAACAGTTCATAATCTGGTTTTATTCAAAATGCAGATAGAACGACTAATTAAAATCAAAAGCCAAAAAAAAAATAATAATACATCGAGAAATATAATATAGCATCACTAATGTCGGAAAATACAAGAAGAATATACCAGAGCAGTAAGAAGTCGAAGAATGCTGGAACAAAATTGGATCCAAAAAGCTGTGGAAGTATCCATAGGAAAACGGAAAATGAAAATAAACAAGGGTTGAAACTGACAAAAAAAAAACGAACTACGAGTATTTATTGCCCTTTCGCTACACATGGGCCCATGTACTTTACCATCAATTGAACATTACTGGTCTCAAAATATTATGTATAAAATGAAATTTTGGAGGTTAGTAATGAGTAGATTTCAATTACTATCACGTTTTTTGCATTTTGCCGACAACTCGGAACAAATATAGGATCCATTATACAAAATAAGGTCAGTCCTCAGTCATTTTAACAAAATAATGGAAGAGAATTATGTTCCCGATAAATTCTTATGCATTGTAGATTATGCATGGTAGATTATTTTTTCGGTAGTACATAAAAAACAAAAAACATAAGTATGGTGTGAAACTATATGAACTGTGTGAATCCCATGGAGTGGTTCTGAAAATTAGAATTTATTGCGGCAAATCTGAAGCCAACGACGCCACTGTTGATATGGGATATACTCATCGAGCAAAAAGACAAAAGAGGCAATGTAAAGGTAGTGGGGGCAAAAATATTGGGACAGGAAGTGCCATCTTGAGAGGCCAAATTAAACAGGGATAAAGAGTCTTTCCTTGTTTGAGAAATCAAATTTAGTTAGGTTATGTTATTATTTGTCATAACTGTCACATGAAATCTTATTTATATTGAAGTTTTTTAACAATTATTTCACATTTTAGACTGTTATCGTTAATAATTAATTAAAACTTTCTCGTCTAAGACACATTCTGAAAAATATTATATAGCTGCTGTTGATAAGTGTCGGAAAATTTAAATTTGGCGCATTCGCATTTCCGGATATGTCCGCCATCAGAGGCCACTTTTTTGGTCTCCTTTTCATAACGATTAAATTCCCTCTTTTGTCTTTTTGCTCGATGAATATACTACAGAGGTTGTATTACACTTACTGGATAAATATTTGGACAAAGGATATATTGTCTATATGGACAATTTTTACAATTCAGTAGCCCTTACCAAACATATGACAGCCAGAAAAACATACGTCTGTGGTACGTTATGCCATAATCTAAAAGAGAATCCAAAATATGTGATCTCAAAAAAACTTAAAAAGGTCTAGTGTGTATGACAAAGAAATAAATCGGTAGTTGTGTGTAAGTGGAAAGACAAATGTGAAGTTTTAATGATTTCAAACATGCACAAAGTAGAAATGGTCGAGGTCCATGCCAGAAGTGGGAAAGTTGTTTGGAAACCTAACATAATTAAGGATTACAATGCTGGAATGTCAGGTATAGACCAGTCAGATCAAATGCTAAGCTACTACAGCGTTTTAAAAAAAACCATAAGGTGGCTGAAAAAAGTAGCTTTGCATATTGTTGAAATATACACAAACAATGCATACTTGCTTTACCGTAAGTCAACAGGAAAAAAAATAAAATCTTTAAAATTTCGAGAGATGTTTATTTCGATGCTCTTTGGTGGTAATATGCCAAAAGCTACACCAAATCCTCCAACAAAATTTCATTACCTTGAAAGTATACCACCAACAGAAAAGAAGCAACAACCAACAAGAGCTTGCCGCATATGTACCACTCGTAATCGTCGTCGAGAAACAAGATATAGATGTGGTGCATGTGAAAAAAAGCCTCCTTTATGTGTAGAACCCCGCTTCAAACAATACCAACATGAATAGGACTGTTCAAGCACTTTTTTTATTGAACTTTGTATGTTTCTTTTTCATTTTGTAATTTTTAGTTTTTTGTCCTTTTACCATAACCAAAAATAAATAAATCTGTTTTCTGATGTACACCTATATTTTAATAACCGTTTTGTAGACGCCCAATATAAAATCTCCATGCATATCCCACGAATAATCTCGTTCTCGGCGCCACGAAAAAAATCTACAAAAACGAGATAACTCGTGGTTGGCGACTAAGAACAGCAAACCACGAGTTATCTCGTGCTTGGCAGTCAACGAGTTAAATTCGACAATGAAGCTATCTACAAGCCTACTCGACGACAAATTGGAATCACAAATGAATATCAGAAAAGAAGAACAAGGTTTCAGCAAAGATAGGTTGACGACGGATGCAATATTCATTATGAAACAAGGGAAAAACAAGTCTATAAAATACACCAAGCAGCACATGTATGCTTTGTGGATTTAACAAAAACATTTGATAAAGTCAAACTTAAGGATATATTACAAAAATTTAGACAAAGCATAAAACAAATAAAGAACAATCAATGAAGATTAAAACAAATGACAACAATACATCTAACTTATCAACTCCAGTGAGGGAGATAGTCAGCCCTTTACTGTTCAACATATTAATGTGTAATGTGTCAAAAATCAGATTGTTATATCCTGTTCAATTTTTGTTATTAAATTTTATTTCACTCATTCCAGTAAGATTTTCTAACGAAATAATTTTAAGCCGCTAATGCTCCATAAAACAACTGTTAATATGTTTAAAAAGTTACCGCCTACAATATTCTTTTATAATCCTTTAGAGTTTCTACCAAAAATTTACCTAAATATTCTGCATTTATGATTGTATTGTGAATCCTCTGTACAAAACAAACCTCAGAACTATCCACTCTGCTATTGTCAGTGGTTTTTTATTTGCAAATATAGTAAATAAACACTCAAAAATGTGCCGGAAAATATCCCGTTAAGTACCACCCTAACAGTTTCGTCTATTTTTGACCACACACCAAAGTAACCGTATCCTTCTATTTAAATATTTTGCTTTCTTCACCTATTTTTACCTTGTTATTTTTATACAGCCTATTATTTATATACCCTGTATATGTTTATACAGCCTATTGGGTACTAATGTTTTAAGATTAATTCTTCCTAATCTAGATTACTAGGTAGGGTACAAATGGATGAACTAATAGAAGATGTACATAGAAGATAACCTACAAAGACAACTTCACAGATTCTGCCAAGCATGCCATCAGCTTAACATAAGCATACACAGGAAGAAAGCAAAGAGCTATATATAGCTAAAGATCCAATTAGATGTAAGCTTAAAGTGGAAACAAAGCCATAGAACAGCTAAATCAATTTAAGTAAATCGGCATAGTTAGGCATCCAGTTGCCATGACTCAGTCACAGACCTAAGAAGGCAAATAGATAAAGCCCAGTTATCCAGAACAGTACATACATGCCAATGAATAAAGACACATGTTGCTTCATGTTGGCTTGTCTACCCTTATAATATATATTTGCAAATGACATTAAAAAATATCATTGGTGTAGGAGAAATAACTATTATGATATAGATGGAAGCCATAGGCAATAAAAGTATTAAGAGCACCAATTAGAAACTCGAGAAAGCATTATCAGCAAATCTACAGAACACATGAAATTTAGATATTATATTCATTTAATTACATATGATAGTATTCTGCAAATGCTAAATAATCCTAGATCTTCAACAATGAGTATTCTTTAAATATGTTAAGGATTATACTGCTATAATTTAAATGATTTTAATAATAAATGTTTGTCAACTTTTTAAAATATAAAGCTTTTCCAAGTTAGGATGTAGAGACGAAGAGTTAAATTTTAATACTTACGATGAAACTAGCAAATATGAAGTGCCCAATGATATTAATGATATTCCAATGTGAAATACAATAACAGTTGAACCATATTCTTTTACAGCCTTTTTTAACTTTTCTTTTCTTGAAAGGGTTTCCTTGACAACAATTTTTTCAGGTATCTCTTTTTCAGACCTTTTAGAGTCATCTTTAGCTGCTTCCTTAATATCTGTGCTTTGAAATCTACATGATTGATATATTGCTGGTCTGTAAAATATCACAGATCTAGGTGTTAAACACGAATAAGTTTGATAAAATGGTTCATTGTAGCAATTGTAATTTCCTAAAATAAATCACATACATATTGTAATCTGCATGTCAAAAAAAAAATAGGATGCATAGCCCATCCTGAACAAATACAAACATTGGAATTTATGTACATATAACTTGTAATATTCTTTATACTGATATATTATATTTTTAAAAATAATTAAAAATACATGATTAAATGGGCCATATTTATATAAATTACAGATTTAGAATTGACTATGCCAATAGATTAGAACCAAAATTCTTACCCAAAATATTTATTTTATTTGTAACATCGAAACGGTTTACTAATTTATTTAATGTTCTAGCCCTAATATAGATTGTGCTTCTCATTGTTTATAACAGTAAATAACGGGAACAAGGTTCATTTAAATAATTTTAATTTAATAACCCAAGTTCATAACAATTGTATGTCAAATGCCAAAAAATGTGATATTTGGAAAATAACGTAAAATGTGTTGCCGATGTTTTAGGCTGACTCTTATCTACTGAAGAACTTGACCATTATCCACACAAGTTCCGTCGCAGGATCGAACAGTAGAACAGCGTCATTCACATTTTAAAAATTGAATTAAATATTTTGAAATAAAAGTATGTCAAACAACTATGTAATAATTTATTTATATTTAATTACTAATATAGTCTTTAGACTACATTTGACTGCCATCTATGTAAAATTTTCTAAACACAACGAATTTTTTAAAAAGAAAGCTGTAACGGAGCCGGTAAAGTTGAAGACTGCAGTATCTGGGCTAAATTTCTGATTCACAGAGAATCGGAAGATCTCCTCGCATTTCTGTTTACCTGATAGAAAACCTTTTGACAAAAGTTAAAACTGAAAGCAAGAAAACGAGAGAGTGTGTGTGATGTTGTCTATCTAATTGTGATTTGTTCATAAGAACTTGTAGGTCTTCTAAGTTATCCTCAAATAGTATGGTGTCATCTGCATATCTGATGTTGTTAAGTCATCATTTAAACCTAGCCGTTTAATCTCTTGGTATTTCTGTTAGTTCTATTTTATATTTTCGGAGCTCGTTAAGTAGTTATGCCTGTGGTCCTGGTTTATTCAATGTCAGGACGTTCCAGGTACCGAGAGCGTAGTCCATAACTCTTTGCTTAAGCCATCGTCGATAAGACTGATCTATTCGAGGCTTAATTGAAGGTTTCGTGGTTTTTGTACTTTTTACGGTAACGGGTTACCGGTCCATTGCCCAACCATCAACCTGGAAGACCAGAATTTTTTGTCATGGTTTATTCCCTTAACCGATATGTTCCAGTTTTTAGGCGCCAGAAACTCGCTTTTCACCTCCTCTCGTCTGCTACATAATGGGCAATCATTGTACGCCGTGCTCCCAATGGCTACGCGGTAAAAGCCTTCGGGGACGTGAGAGTAGCATTTGTTGGCAAACTTTTTTACTTAAAAAAAAAACAAGAATAATCTTGAATAATCAGAGATGTATGGTTTGTGAATCAGAGTGTCTCCTTGTTAATTTTGATTAAAAAGTTTCTATTTGCAAATGATAACCAATTGACCAAAATTCGAAAATAAACAGTTACATTTTTTTTAATTAATCCTTAAACTTTGTTGATAAAAACAGCGAGTAAATATTTTTTTTAATTTAAAATTATTATACTCTTCGAGCACATGTGCTCGGTTGTATAGTAACTTACAGTCAATTACATTTGTCAAAATCAAAATTTTTCGAGTATAGCAAAAAATAAATTGTAATAAATTTACTTAGAACCTGCTATTATGATCACTGAATCGAATATACATACTTACCTACAAAGTAAATTTTACAATGACAGTTAAAATTTTGGCGAGAGCGTTTTTGACAGTGTAAATTTTGGCGGATGCAACACTTTTAATGTGTGAAAATCATTTTATCGACTTAAAAACATAAATTAAACTATTGAATATAAAAAATACTAAACAATTACTATTTTATTTAACTATGGTTTCACTCTGGATACATTTACTTAATAAATATAATATTTTATTTGTACCATCTATAGATATGACTGAATCAATACAGAATTACTTATTAATTGATAGCATCATCAATGGTGCTACAGCCCTATGAAAGAGCCTCGACCTTCCCAAGTCTATTACGCCAGGCAGTCCTATCCATTGCCAACCGTTGCCAGTTTGCTGCGCCTATCTTTCTACCATCCTCATCTACACCATCCTTCCATCTGAGTTTTGGCCTACCCTTTTTTTCTACTTCCCACGGGTTGTGACATAAGGATTCTTCTAGGAGGGTTGTTCTGCTGTGATCTTGCTAGATGTCCTGCCCATCTTAGTCTTGCTATTCTTATAAGAGATACTACGTCTTTACCACCAAATATTTGTTTATATCTGTGGTATACCTCGTAGTTGTATCTCCTCCTCCAAAATAATTTGCATAAATCTTTAAACATGATTGAGCAAATATCATCACATTATTAATTACAAATTAAAAAAAAATGTATATATATATTGACATCACACATTTAAAATACATTAACATTACAAATTAAATATGCTGATTAAGGAGAAGGATAGGCCAGGCACTCCGCCACAGTATAGGGCTCAATGTCAACTAGGTGTTGAAAAACCTTTCTTTTAAAAGTTCTATAGTGTGTTTCCTGTTTAATGTCAGATGGTAGACTGTTATAAAATTTAACACACGCATACAAAGGACTTCTCTCTGTTATAGACAATCTGTGAAGTGGCAAATTCAAGTTAAGGCTTCTTGTACTATATTCATGATTGGGAAGCAGGTGATAAAACAAAGAAAAATTTTTAAAAAGGAACATAATACATTCAAATATATAGATGGCTGAGAAAGTGAGTATATTGAGTGACTTGAATCGGCCTCTACACGATTCTCCCGCCTTTAGTCCTAAGATCACCCGGACTGCCTTTTTTTGGACTATAAAGACAGTTGAGCTATCTACTGCAGCACCCCAGAAGATTACTCCATATCGCATAACAGAATAAAAGTTTGCATAATATACTGATAGTAAAATCCCCTGGTCCAGATAGCTCTTTAACACTCTTAATGAGTAGCAGGCTCTATTCAGTTTTTTTGTTGTATTTTGTATTTGTTCCCCCCAATTCAGATTCTGGTCAATATGGATACCAAGAAATTTAACTGATCTAGCAGTTTCCGTGTTTTCTGATAGAAAATTAATTGTATCTGGAAACTGTTCTCGTGACTGGCTGGTTCTAAAGTGGACAAAAACTGTCTTATCAGTATTAAGCAACAACCGATTTCCACTGAACCACTGTTCAGCCTTGCTTAGAATTTGCTCTGCCACTGTGAGGAGTGTTTCTAAAGTTTTTTCCCAGAAAAGCACATTTGAGTCATCAGCGAAATTTACAAGGTTTGAGGAACAACTAACCACCGCATTTGGAAGGTCGTTTATGTAGACCAAAAAGAGAAAAGGCCCCAGAACACTCCCCTGTGGTATACCTAATTTTAAATTGATCGGTTCAGAATAAACCTTACATCCTCTTTTCTCCAGGCATAACTTTTGCGACCTATCTGTGAGAAATGATTTTATCCATTTTAATGCTGGTCCCTGTATTCCATAAAGATGTAATTTTTGTAATAAGAGAACATGATCTAGGCTATCAAAAGCCTTAGATAGGTCCAAAAAAGCACCCAGTGTTTTCATCTTTGCCTCCAGTTTTTCTAAAATTTTTGATATAAAATCATAGGTAGCTGTCTCAACAGATCTCCCTGCGAGAAAACCATGCTGTGAACTACTAAATAAGTTGTTTGTAGTAAAAAAGTTTTGTAGTCTGAAATATATTGCTTTTTCAAATATTTTTGAGAATGATGGAAGAAGGCTTATTGGTCTATAGTTGTCCATCTTAGTAACATCACCTTTTTTATGAAGTGGCTTGACAATTGCCAGTTTTAAATTTTTAGGAAATTTACCTTGCCTGAAAGAAGCATTAGCTATAAAAGAAAGAGGAAGAGAAATCTCTGATGAAACATATTTTATTAAGTTGGTTGATATTTCATCATAACCAGAGCTATGCTTGTTTTTTAAGTTATTTATTATATGACTTATTTCTTTCTCTGAAACTGGAGTTAAAAACATGCAATGATTAGTTTGTTCAATATTAATTTGAAAATTTTTTACATGCTTTATTTTCTTTACAGCTTCTGGCGCTGCATTTGCCATAAATTGATTTATTTCGTTAGAAAGCACTTGAGGGTCACCCTCCAAACAGAAATTACCTTGATTTTTGGAATTACCCTTAATCTCTTTTACCAATTGCCAAGCCAGTTTAGTTTTATTTTCGCTATTTTCAATTCGTTTTTTATAACAATTTTTCCGAGATTGAGTGAGTAAAGAATTGTATTTGCGTTTTTCTGTCCTATAAATATCTTTATAATCAACATTATTGGTAGACAGTGTAAACAAAACATCAAGCTTAGATTTACAATGTTTTATATCATCATTTTTAAAGTACTTTTGTGATTTTTTTTTATTTACTGTATTAATCTCTTTGAGTGGAAAACATTCTATAAAAAATTTCTGAACTATACTCATAAAAGCATCCCACTGATTATCTACTTCTAATGTCTCAAAAACAGATACCCAGTCTACATTACCTAACATGAATTTAAATAAACTTTTATTCTCATGCTAATATCGTTTTTTATTATATTTGACTCAAATTCATTTAATTCAAATTTTACCTTTTGAGCAGTATGATCAGATGTATGAGGATTGAATACAAGGGAATCAAATATGTCAAGATTTGTAAAAATATTATCTATACAGGATTTTTTGTTACCTTGTATGCGTGTATAGTCTTTGATGGAAGGTTTTATATCAAAGGAGCTCAAAAACATTTTTAATGCGTCTGGCCACCTTGCACCCTCAAGCAGCATATCTAAGTTAAAATCACCAGCCAAAAAAATTATGGAGTCCTTGTCAACTAAATCACAAAGTATTTGGTCTAATTTATTCATTAAAACTTGTGGGTCTTCTGTTCGGTAGATGGATAGGATTACAATCTTCTTCTTATTAATTCGCACCTCTGCAGCGGAACACTCAAACACAGTTCTTTCTGATAAACTAGAAATATCTTCCCGGGCTTTTGCAATAAACGTGTCTTTGATGTATACCGCACTGCCACCATGCTCCTGTGAACTGTTTCTGCAATATGAAGAGATCAGTTTAAAATTCCGCACATTGTAGTCCCGCAGTTGTTCTTCTGTTTTCCAGTGCTCAGTTAAACAAAGAGCAAAGCATTCATCATGATCTTCTAGGATAAAATTAATGGCATCAATACTTGTTTTAATTGATTGCGTGTTTAAGTGGATTAC